TAACCGATTTAAGGTGATGATGAGTATCGATGGCCATGGGACTGACACTGCACTAGTGATAGGTGCGAGGAGACGGACATTTGTAACTTCCTGCGTGGACCCAATCTGGATTGGTAGATGCTTAGTAGTAGGATGATGTAGGAGAGACCGGAGCCTGTTATTAATCGCCAGGCCCACTCTTCGCAAATAGAATCATCGGGCATAGTACCTCGCCACCGTCAACCCTTGGCACGAACACGTTTTGTTATTCAACAAAAACGCAACCGTCACAAAACAGCGTGGCTATCGTGCTAAAGACCTAAGAGCCCGGGCAATGGCCGAGGACCAGCCCCCCTTCCTTGTGGCTTTATGCCCACTTCTCTCCAGCGTCATAACCTGAATCCTGCCATTACTGGGCAGCACCTAGATTACTCCGGCACCACTCCCCCCCACACACCACCCCCTCCCCCTAAACAGACAGTCCGACTAGAAGAGCGGCAGCAATCGCGCCACTAATTGGGTCGGTTTGCGAGCCATGTCCTGTTACAAGTTCTGCGGAGCCAAAGCACAAAACGAGTACACGTGGACCTCCAAGCCGGCGGAAGGCGAGGACGAATTGACGGCACCCATGTTTGGTTCGTGCAGTGAAATTCATTTCCCCCTCTGCCAACTCAACTTTTGTTCCACCCTCGCGTCTTGTGCCACTCTACATCTGGCAGACAAAACAAGAGGCCACTCTTAGGTAGGCGATGGACCAGCGCATACGAAACACTGCACTTTGCCCGAAGTCAACGCACACTTACACAGTGTCTATCTGTTGTTCTACGATGAGCTAGCATGATTATCACTACCTGAGACTACTGCACGCGCTACGCACATCATTGTTGCGGACACGCTGGTGCCATCTGACATCAGCAATGCTTTCCCCACAGACAAAGATGGTCAAATACTAATGAAGAGGTGCCACAGATCTTCAGGACCGAAGGGACCAAGTTACACTACGACCATACAGCATGACGGCCCTCACTGTTGGCCTTGTAAGCACAGTCTATCAGACGGAGAGAAAGCTGATTTCTGGCATTCTGTCGCGCAATAGTAAACCGTAGATTCCAGAAGGTAGTTCTCGGCTTTTGCATAATGCGGCGAAGCTGACGTGAGTTCCCAATGCATGCGCGGGCATCGTTGCCAGATGGCAGCACTTGCCAAAAATAAGTGGAATGTATCAACCATATACGAGTTCCTCGTTAGGCTAAGGCGTCGAGAGGGACATCAAGTGGGGCTGGTGGTCCTTGCAGCAACCACTTTTGGCAACCATTGAAGGTACTGAAGTCGCATGCCAAATAAATGGGGACTTATTGCAAGACGGAGGCAATTCAGGAATAGATTGTGCCGGCCCAACGAGATCGGAAAAAACTAAGACGATATCATCCGCATAATTATGATATCAATCTAAAGCTTTGCACCCGGCGAGGACCTCAAACCGCCTACATCGTGGAGATTCCGCAAGGAGGAACACAACATTGAATGAATCCCACGACGATACTGAGAACAAAAAGCCGGGGGGAAATCGGACAACCCAGACGGACGCCACGTGTAGTGGAAAAGCTATCCCGATAGGACACCGTAAAACACTGGACGCTGGGAGCGGCTGTAGATGTTCGAGAAGGATGTTCACATGTTTTTGCGGGGGAACACCGTATACGATACCGCGCCGAGTATTTTACGGACAGAAATTCGAACGATCGAGACCGGAACTCGAACGCACACTAGAAATCGAGGAGAACACAGCTACATGCCCCGGGTCCTGCGGTATGCGAGGCGGCTGCTCCTAAGGAACGACCACGCCAGCCGTCACACGTGAAAAAACGGTCTAAATCCATGTCCATTGGACGGTTAGTTTAGAGCCTCCGTCGGAGGCCGAGGTCCGAAACGCGATCACAGCCCTCAATCGTTTTCGTGCCGCTGGCCCGGATTCCCTCCACCTGCACTATTTAAGGATGGAGGTGAGGTCCTCTGCAAAGCACTGACCTCCCTATTCGAACGTATCTGGAAGTAAGAGAGTGTCCGGCTAATTGGAGCGAATCGATTATAGTGGCAATATACAAGAAGGGCAGTCGCACAGACTGTTCTAACCACAGGGGTATTAGCCTAACGCCAGTTGTGACAAAATTACTGGCCTCGATTATCGTTCGTCGCCTCACTGCGGAACGGGAATCTCGGATTAGGGAAGAGCAGGCCGGTTTCCGCCCAGGACGTGGCTGTATAGACCATATATTCACTTTGCGGCAGGTGCTAGAGCAGCGCCACGCATACCGCAGACCGACAATAGCTGTGTTCCTCGATTTCAGAGTGCGTTCGATGCGGTCGATTGATCCATTCAGTTCGAAATACTTGCGCGTAAGGGTGTTCCCGCAAAACATGTGAACATCCTACTCGAACACTACAGGCCGCGTCAGGTTTTACGGTGTCCTATCGGATAGCTTTTCCACTACAAGTGGCGTCCCGTCAGGGTTGTCCGAATTCCCGGTTTTTGTTCAGTATCGTCGTGGATTCATTCATGTAGTGTTCCCTTGGGGAATATCTCGACGTAGGCGGTGAAGTGCTTCCTAGTGAAAGGTTAGTTGACCTAGATTACGCGGACGATATCATCTTGCTTTTCGACCATGTTGCGGACGGCACAATCAATCCTGAATAGCCTGTCCGTAATGGTCTCATTATTTAGTATACACTTCGCACCTTCAAGGTGCAAAGTGTTGCTGCAGGACCACCAGCCACTTGAAGACCCCTCGACGCTGCCTAACGAGGAACTCGATATGGTTGATCATTCCACTTATTTTGGCAACTGCATCGGCAACGACGGGCGCATTGAAACTCACGTCAGCTCGCGCATTGCAAAAGCCAGAACTACCTTCTTGAACCTACGGTATCTTTGGCGACAGAAATGAGTTTCTCTCCGTCTGATAGACTGTGCATACAAGGCCACAGTGAGGGCCGTCATGCTTTATGGTAGTGAAACTTGGTCCCCTTCGGTCTGAGATCTGAGGCACCTTCAAGTATTTGACCATCTTTGTCTGGGAAGCATTGCTGGTGTCAGATGGCCCCAGCGTGTCCGCAACAATGATGTGCGTAGCCGAGTACTAGGTAGTGATAATCATGCTAGCTCCCTAGAACAACAGATAGCACTGAGTAAGTTGCGTTGACTCGGGCAAGTGCTACGTATGCCTGGTCATCGCCTACCTAGGAGGGCCTTGTTTTGTCTGCCAGATGTAGAGTGGCACAAGACTCGAGGTGGACAAAAGTTGAGTTGGCAGAGGGAAATGAAGTCACTGACGACCAAACTGGGTGCCGTCGGTTCGTCTCGCCTTCCGCGCTGGAGTCCACGTGACTCGTCTTGTGCTTGGCTCGAGACTTTACAGGACATGGCTCGCAACCGACATTAGTGGCGCGATTGCTGCCGTCTTCTAGTCGGACTGTCTGTTTAAGGTGTGTTTGGTGCCGAGTTATCTGCAGAGTAATGGCAGATTATGACGCGGAGAAGTGAAAGCCACAAGGAAGCTGTCTCGCCATTGCCGCCTTATCTTTGCACGATAGCCAGCTGTCTGTGACGGTACGTTTTTAACACAAGGTGTAGGCGTCTTGACCTTGACTTTTTGCATAGGGCATGAAGATTTTCAGCTAAGTCCTCCTTATCTCCTTCTTATTATTCTTCATTTCATAGGTCCTCATGGTTGTATGGCAGCGAAGCATCCGTGCAAGTGGCTGAGGTACTGCTGTTGTCGATTGATTGAGTAGCTCTTTTTAGTTCATTGGTTATTCGTTTCGGTATTTTTAGTCACTGTAAAGTAGGAAGCTTTCTTACGAGGATGCACGCGACGACTGCGCGTTCTGCTGTCGTCCATCGGGTTAGAGGCCATACTTAACACTAGGCGTATGCTGAGGGATCGAGTGCATGTCTGAGTGCTTTTTCGGCATCGCAACTCGCGTATAGGCATTTGCGGTTGCGCAACGGCGAGGCACCGGTAAAAATCACTGCCGGTACTTTTTTTTACCGCTATGATTGGTGTAATCATGATACTAGAAATAAATGGCCATACGGCTTTCTAAAATCCAGATCGTCTACGGAAATGGGGTGATGTCAAGTGTCAGTCATGACCATGGTGTACTGCACTAGGATAAGCCAGGTGTAAATGCATAGGTTAGAAGCAAGGCCACCTCAAAGTAGAACAGCGATAGGGTATTCGCCTTTGATCAATGGCGTTGTGTGGTATGGCTCATAACCGGTGGGGAGCTCCGAATGATCAACACTTAAGTACATCAGTTGGTACTTGGAAAGAAACTCACTGGAGCACTAGAGGGTCTGACAAACGTGAAGCGGTTAAGTTGATTAGATCATGGCCTCCGTATGCCAGTTGGCTGCCTACCACAAGATGCATTATGGGCCGCTTCTGCACCTAGTTCGACAAACCCGCAAGATGGCCGGTCGATGATGAGGAATAATATAGCACGAAGAAACTAAGTGAGAGGTTTCTTCTGTCTGTTACATGCCGTCTACGTAGACCAGAGTCTCCTGAGTAGCTAGAGACTTTATTCAACATGATTTAGTCGCGAATTCGATGGTGCTTTAGCAACAGGGCACTGGTATTTAGCTGTTGACATTCCAACTCGACCTATTTTACCCACCCTTTTCCTCGAATTCTACCTTACACTATACCGCACTTGTCCCACTATTATCGATTAGTGGTGATGCGAGTTATGGCAACAGAATCCATCATACCTCACTGATCAGACTATGGTTGATTGACTAAACTACGCTGCGCGGAAGAGGTTAATTTAAAGGTACATGGATGGTAGACTGTCAACAGTTAAACAAAAACATCCTATGATAGAACTCAATGTGCAAAATTGATATATCACTTTAAAGCATTAATTTCCCAGATTATTTATGATATACCATTGACTGGATTGGAAAACTACAGTGAGCAAGTAGTAATGTGTATTACATCTAAAGCATGTTCACATACCTTGGGTTCATTTATCAAAACTAAGCATTGGCAAACGTTGATAGAATCCGCTGGTGATGGATGGGACATAAACACCGACACCAGTATCTGGAGTAAACGATTTCGAAGGCGGACGCTATCTATCAGCGTTAGGACTGCGCGGAAGGCGTAACGAAGTATTCCTTCCCGATCATCGGCCAATGAAAGTGCCTTCTCAAAAATATCAAATCTAATGGAAAAGAAAGCGTATTCGTGAAACAACAGATCAAAGCCTCGAAGATAACGGAGTTCACAGTGAGTGGATAAAAAAGGCATCAACAGTACGCCGGTAAACAGTACGGACGCTTTGCTACCGCGCAACCACCACCAATTGTGCGTTTATTGAGAATACTGCGAGAGTCGCCCGGTCCTCCACGCAGGCTCGAACCCGCGACCTCCAGGTTACGAGGCACACCGGGAAGTGAGGAAACATGTCGATACGGAGACTAGATAACGCATAAGCGAATGATACAAACGGAAAATCTAGTAAGGCACTACAGCAGCGCACTAGAGAAAGATGTAAATGGCGCTACAAGAATTGGAGAACGTTGCAGGAGAAAAGCGAGTATAATAAAACGGTTCATGTCGCGGAGTGCGACACTAACCCTGTGAAACATGACAAGATATATAACGATTGAATGTCAAAACATCAGTAAGGCCGAAAAAGCACCATGCATACTACAAACAATAAAAGAACGTCATTTTGAGAGAGCAGAATCAGAGTAGCGGTACGTACAACTCTACTGTATGGTTGTGAAGCCTGGCCCCTTAGATCAGCAGACATAAAAAGGCTAGTTACGTTCGACCACCGGTGTCTTCAAAATTTGACTCACATCTGGTGGGAACACCGTGTGAGCAACGAGCGGGTTCGACGCCTTGTTTACGGCACAGGAAGAGAAAATGAACCACTTAGCACCGTCATATCACGCACCAAGCCCCGATAGCTCGGCCACGAGTTACGCATGCCAGCCCACCGGCTCCCGCGACGTGCGTTATTTGCGCACCGGAAGAGGAAGGATGGCCAGATGATGACTTGGTCGGGAGGAATGAAGGCGCTCATTTCGAAGCTGGTCTCGGCACCCTGGTTGGGGTCCGGAAGACGATGAACACATTTGGCTGGATACGCTTGTTGACATTGCTAGGAGCCGACCTCAATGGCGTTCGTGCTGTTTCTGTGTTCCTCCCCATCCATCTTAGCCTTCCGTCCAACCACGATCTCATTTCTTAGCATAATAAATATTAGCATAGTAAATGTTTTTATTTGTCGAGTAGTTGCCGGCTGGTAACTTTCCAGAACGATGCCCATCCGTTACTGGTGGCTCAGTTGGCATGCAACTGTTGCAGGTTTTGTTCTTTTTTCCTGTTATGTATTGCGACACAGTAGCTGAGGTGTTTTCTACTAGCTAAAGTGTATAATTTAATGTTTATTTGTTGTATTAAACTGTGAAATGTATATGGTAATCTATTTATATCCCAAAGGTTAACAGAGGGATACAGGAAAGCAAAATAGTACATGAATTCATGTTGGACTACCACCACGAACAGGATGACTCTAAGTAAAATTATCAGAAGTATTTTGCACAGAAGTAAATAAGGCTCACTAGTGTCAGATCAGATAAGCTATAATGTACTGAAAGTAGGAACGAATGTGACTTCTTTGTCTGCTTTCTTTTATCGAGCCCTGCAGATGGTTTAAAGACAGAGGATTGACAACGAAGACTACACGTATTTACTTGTGTGTAACGAATCTTGCAGTCGTCGAAAGAATGACCCGAAGCCGAAGGTGGCAGCCATAAGCTACAGGTCAATGCATTGATATGACGGGAGTAAACAAGTTGAACGACTTCATCAGCCAGAGCTACAGAGAGCAGTGGCCAGAATCGAAGGTATGGGGGATGCAAGTATGATGGGAGCAACAGTAGCATCAACTATGTACTGATACTTCGCTGCAATAAAAGTGTGTCCCGTGATGGCCCATGGAGCCCCGGTTCGTAAGGGGTGGCCAGACAACTAAAAACACACATGCGAAGTCAACCATGGAGGTGAACAAAACTAGCTTACTTGATGTATGTAATCTCAACAGTCTAGTAACTAGACATAGAGCCAAGAAAACCATGGAAATCAGTGTATAAGAGACAGTCATTGCGTCAGAATCGTCATGGCATGCTAGCTGAAGGTGGGCAACACACTTCAGCTAATATGCCGCAAGAAAATGGAATATTTTGACAAAAATACAGAACAAAACATTTTTAGTTTGTTTGTCACACGCCGGTTTTTCTCTTTTTTGTCATTTTCAATTTTTGTAGAATTAAACATGTGAATCAACACAACACTGTACACAATTCTTCCATTGATTCCGGTTGCGGGCCATGTCTTCAAGTGTCCTAAGCCATTGGCACTCGCCATCTTTGGGTCCCCATCCTGGAAGACGTACGGGTCCAACAGCGGCTAGACACGACGTCAGCGATTTCCGGCTTTCTTGATACAACACTTAGCATAATAAATATTTGCGTAGTAAATGTTTTTATTTGTCGAGTAGTTGCCGGCTGGTAGCTTTCCAGAACGATGCCCATCCGTTACTGGTGGCTCAGTTGGCATGCAACTGTTGCATGTTTTTTTCTTTTTTCCTGTTATGTATTGCGACACAGTAGCTGAGGTGTTTTCTACTAGCTAAAGTGTATAATTTAACGTTTATTTGCTGTATTAAGCTGTGAAATGCATATGGTAATCTATTTATATCCCAAAGGTTAACAGAGGGATACAGGAAAGCAAAATAGTACATGAATTCATGCTGGACTACCACCACGAACAGGAGGATGACTCTAAGTAAAATTATCAGAAGTATTTTGCACAGAAGTAAATAAGGCTCACTAGTGTCAGATCAGATAAGCTATAATGTACTGAAAGTAGGAACGAATGTGACTTCTTTGTGTGCTTTCTTTTATCGAGCCCTGCAGATGGTTTAAAGACAGAGGATTGACAACGAAGACTACACGTATTTACTTGTGTGTAACGAATCTTGCAGTTGTCGAGAGAATGACCCGAAGCCGAAGGTGGCAGCCATAAGCTACAGGTCAATGCATTGCTATGACAGGAGTAAACAAGTTGAACGATTTCATCAGCCAGAGCTACAGAGATCAGTGGCCAGAATCGAAGGTATGGGGGGATGCAAGTATGATTGGAGCAACAGTAGCATCAACTATGTACTGATACTTCGCTGCAATAAAAGTGTGTCCCGTGATGGCCCATGGAGCCCCAGTTCGTAAGGGGTGGCCAGACAACTAAAAACACACATGCGAAGTCAACCATGGAGGTCAATAAAACTAGCTTACTTGAACCTCTGGGTGGAGATGTTTGAACTAAAGAGACACCATGCTTCCCGAAAAGCACTCGTAAATACTGCATTGTCATGCGAGTAGAACCCAAGTGAAATCCGCAATTACTACCAGGGCAAGGACAGTGTTACGAGTGTAATAATCCAAAAACATAACGAATAGGTGAAGTAATGCAACCCTTCTCATAGTGCTATAATAGATAGAGCTGCTGAAGGTAGAAAAGCGTACAAGGGGATATATGGTACAGCTCAGACAAATAAGGGTTGCCTATCTCAAAGCAACACAGTGACAGAATGCTGTGTACAGTGGTAACTAAGATTTTATCCTCAAAGCCGAGTTAATCAAACATTCAACCTATTGCAGTTTTGAATTATGACTGTTAAACAGTACGATGATTCTGAGGCAAACAAAATGGTGCCACAGTACTCGACTAAGTAATGCTATGTTAAGTTGTGGACCACGTATTGTGCATGCCAGCCCACCTGCTCCCGCGACGTACGTTGCTTGCGCGACCCGAGGTGTCGATGGATGAAGAGGAGGGGAGGTCAACAGATGAGTTAGTAAAGAGGAATGAAGTCCCACAGTTGGAACTTGGCGTCAGCTGGTAACTCGACCCCGTGAATGGGGACTAAAAGACGATGAACACATTTAGGTAAATACACTTGTTGACATGATGAAGAGCCGATCTTGATGGTGCTTGTCAGTTTCTTTGTCCCTCACCATTTTCTTTGGCTTCTCAGTTCAACAACAATCTCACTCTTGATGCGCAATAGTATACTTGTTTTTGGTTTCGATTCTTTATTCTATAGGGTTTCGTAGCTCGCTTTTCATTTATCCTTTTGTGTTGAGGTGAATTGCCAAGGTGTAACGTTGATGATGATGATGATGCGAATTCACATCTAGTCAGTTCCAAGATGAAAACTGTGAGATCAGTCCCTGTCGGCTGCAAGAGATTTATTGAATGATATCGTACATATCATCGCTAATGCACTGGCGATTGCTCTCTCCGCCATGGTAAAGTGCTTGATGATACACAAGAATGGCATGTTTACTTTTGATTATGTTGTTGCATTAACGCTTTTTCAATCACTCACCTGGTTTTCACCTAACGCATCATAACCTGCTGTTTTACACTGCAGCTCTTGTACTTCCGTTGTTAGACCGGTAAAGAGTAATCCTCCGTCTCCGAGTTATCCCGTTTGTTGTGCCCTATTCATTCGACACATCAATTTAATGGTCTAACATTTCTATGGATCGTTATCTTCGTCCAGACAAATTCGATATCGATATAAATGCATCTGATGCTTGTAAGCAACGGATCTACTGGTTTCGAACATCCAAGGCCTTCCTAAAACGAAGTCAATCTGATGACTTGAACAATCTGGACATGCGCGTCAAGTTTCTTTCCCCTTCGGTCTATGAACATGTTTCAGAATGTAAAACGTTTGATATCGCTGTTACACTTCTTCACTCTTTGTACGTGCGCTTTGTAAATTTGTGTTCGATAACTTCTATCTACGTGCAAGGAAGAGTGTGGGCAGAGCATCGATCAGTTCGCGCCAAACATCAAGCAGTCGGCGAAGGATTGAGATTTTCGTTCTGTGTCTGCTGAAGAATATCGTGGTGATGCCATGCGCGACGCTCTTATAACTGGATTACAGTCAAAAAGAACCCGAACGACACTCCCGGAACTGAGGGTGTTAAAATTTCAAACTGCTTATGATATCGCAAGTTCTCTTGAGGTTGCGGCCAAACAATCGAGGTCCTACGAAAATGATATTATTCCCTGTTCTTCAGCTCATTCTGTGCTTAACTCACCAGGTATACATTCTTCATCCATTCGCTCATCTGAAAC